CAGGAGGAGCTGGACCCAGGCCCCAGATACCCTGCTTTTCCTTCCCCTGCATCTTCCCCCACATCTGCCTGTCCTCATTATCCTGGCCATACTTCCCTCTGTCAGTGCCAAGCCCCTCCTACCTGACCCTGAGGGGCTTTCCGCTACACTGAGGGCAGGCTCAAAGGCAGCCTCACTCCAAAGCCCACATCCAGGGGGCCTTGGCCTTCCTCTTTCTGCTCCTCTTCTGTGCCTCAGCCTGTCCTCTTTCATCACACACTTCACTGACAGAGACAGAGAAATAGTGGCGGCATCATTGAAAAGACTGTGAGATTTGAGGCAGGAGTCCCCTTGGCAGCACCCCTGACTGGTGTCCATCCAGTCTCTGCTTGCATATTTCCACTGACTAGAACCTCATTCCCTCCTGAGTCAGCTCTTTCCATCATGGGACAGTCTAGCTCTAAGAAACTTCTTCCTTATATGAAGGGGAAAACGGCTTCACTGTCACACCTACCCAGTGGCCCTATCCTGCCCTCTGGGGCCACAATGAATAAGCCTAATTCCTCTTCCATAGCTTAATGGCTAAGCCTGCAGATTGAAAACCAGATAATCATGGTTCAAGTCCTAGCTCTCCATTTTGTTTGCTGTGTGGCTCTATTATTATTTTTTAACCTTTCTTGGCCTCCATTTCCTCATCTTTAAAATGGAGGTGATAACAGCACCTGCCTCACAGAGTTATACAAAGAGTAAATGAGTTGATAGTTATAAAGCTCTTCAATAGCATGTGGCACATAGTAAGTGCTCAGTAAATTATGTTATCTAAAGAGAGCTGTTCTATGTCCAGTTTTATTCACTCTTTTTTCCTTCACACAACAAGAGTCGCACATCTGTCCAGCTCTGAGTTTATCTGGCACTTGGGTTTGCTTAACACCCTCTTGTGATGTTATCTCCAAGGTAAAGTGGAGTCACTGTGTCTCGTGACATAGAAGCTGTCCTTCTGTTATCGTGATGAAGACTAACTTTGCTGGAGCAATATATCACCCAGTTGGCTCACGTCAACCTCATGGTTAGCTAAAATCCCAAGATCCTTTTCACTTGATCTCCTTAGGGCTAAAGCCTCCAGGGCTCTCCCTCCCCTCTTACCTGTCCAAGTCTTCCAAGCTCCTCTGCATGTTGGAATGTCATTGCCATGTGCTTTGTACCTTCTCAGTGTGGCACCCAAGGTCTAGAATACCCTTCTCTCCCCCAACTCATCAGTTCATCTGTCTCATCTAGTCTATAAGCAGACCCTGGTAATTTTCCTCTTCAGTAAAGCCTTGCAGACTGATCACACTAAGGTTGCTGTTTTGCTTGAATTGTTCCACCCTTATGGTGAATCTTTGCATGTCTTCTTATCCCCTTAGCTTATGCAAGCATTGCACATAAAGGTTTTTTTGTCTGTTTGTTTCTTTGCTTTTTTGAGATGGAGTCTTGCTCTGTCACCCAGGCTGGAGTGCAGTAGCACGATCTTGGCTCATTGCAACCTCCACCTCCTGGGTTCATGTCATTCTCCTGCCTCAGCCTCCCAAGTAGCTGGGACTTCGGTTATACACCACCACACCCAGCTAATTTTTGTATTTTTAGTAGAGACATGTTTCACCATGTTGGTCAGGCTGGACTTGAACTCCTGACCTTAGGTGATTCATCCGCCTTGGCCTCCCAGAGTGCTGGGATTACAGGCGTGAGCCACCGCACCCAGCCTCACATACAGGTTTTGGGGACTTAACCTTATTCTGTCTGTCCCCTCCACATGTTTGGGGCTCAGAAGGCAGTGGTCTTGTCTAGGGTGTTCTCTATGCGTCTTGCAGAGAGCAGTGGATAAGCAGTTATGTGACAGCACACGAGAGTGCCCTGTGGTCCTATCACTTCTAACAAATCTCTGCTTCCTCTAAACTTCCATACACAGGGACATCCTGTTCCTACAGGCAACAGTGGATGAGGGTTGGACAGCCCGACAGACGCCGGGCCAGGCAGGGAAGAAGTGAGTAGTTCTGACGCACCCGGCTTCCCTTCCCTCTCCAAACTCTTAGCTATTTTTTTTTCTTTATTTTCCTTCCTGTGTTGAAAGAGCTATGGAGCCTGGACCATAGTAGGGTTTCCTGGGGACATTCCATAAATTCTTCATGGGTTATTTCTCTGGAGAGGGGTGGGAGCAAGTAAGCTGGTAGACGGGAGGCCAGCAGGGACCTGGGTATGAATGTCAAGTACCTCAAAGCTGTGTGGGTGGGAAGGAAGGGTGAGTTGCACAGAGGAGGAAGGAGGGGTGTCATGAGCTCATAGAAACTGCCAAAGAAATGGCCAAGCAAAGAGTAAGAAACAGCAGCCAACTCGCAGGTCAGAACAAGCTGTGGGTAGCCACGCCTCCAGCTTTGCTCTTGAACCTGCTGACTTGTCTCCACAGTAACTTGTCCATCAGGGTTTCAATAGGGCCAGGAGAACTTGGCCAACTCAGGTGTGTGACTTGGGAAGATGCCAAGCAGACCCCGATGTGTGCTGTGCACGATGCATGGAGATACAGGGAAGGTCAACGCAAGGTCCCTTTGTGTCTGCCTGGCTCCCTTTTCCTTTATTCACTTCTCATCCATCCATTCAGCAAACACTGACTCCTCAATTCACATCTAGATCTGAAGAGAGTGAAGGCATTAGCCCCTAGTTGACCTCTGTAGCAAGCCTGGACCTGAAGATCCTTCTCAGTCTCCCTCCCTGGGCTCTAGAGCTACTTCTTTAAGTAAAACAGTGCCAAATTGGGTGTCAAGTCAAGAAGCAACTTGTCCTAGATCTCTATGCTTGGGCAAGTCAATTTTCTTCTCTGGGCCTCAGTTTCCCGGTCAAATAATGAGAGTATTGGGGCAGGTGATCTCTAAAGTTTCTTAAAGAATGGTTCTATTTTTCACAGCAGTTCTGAGGCCTATCCCATGAGTGAACACTTGGTGAAGGGATTAAGAGGGGAAAAGAGAACAGTCCGTAAAGCATGACCCCTGCCTTTCACAGAACTTTTAAGAGAATCAAGGAGACAAACAGAGTGACACATATGACCTGGAACAGTGATTGAAGGTGGGGAAAGGTGCTGTCACCAGTCTGTGTGGCTTCTGCTGGCCCTTAGAGAGCCTGTGTGCCATCTAGGAAAAGGTGGTCCCCATGGGGAAACTTAGAGGAGTCCCACCAGGCAAATGTCTATACCACAGGGTACATGATGAGACAGGGAGAGCTCAGGCTGGATTTCAACTCCCTCTAGACCTTTAGCCCAATCCTCCTCGGCCAGGCACAATTTGCCCGACTGGATGTGGTGATCCTGGCTGAGCAGGGAAGTAGCCAGCTTCAGGGGTCCAGGCCGAACTGCTTCCTGGTAGAAGCCACTTTTATTTATTTTAATTTTATTTTTATTTTTTTTGAGACAAAGTCTCACTCTGTCACCCAAGCTGGAGTGCAGTGGTGTGATCCTGGCTCACTGCAACCTCTGCCTCCCAGTTTCAAGCGAATCTCCAGCCTCAGCCTCCCAAGTAGATGGGACTACAGGCATGCACCACTGCGTCCGGCTAATTTTTTGGGGGGAATGGGAAGTGGGGATTTTTGGTTGAGACAGAGTTTCACTATGTTGGCCAGGCTGGTCTCAAACTCCTAACCTCAGGTGATCTGGCCGCCTCAGATTCCCAAAATGCTGGGATTGCAGGCGTGGGCTACCACACCCAGCCAGAAGCCACTTATAAATCTTAGCAGAATTTCACAGAGCAACTCCTTCCCTTCCCATTTTGGAAAAGCAAATGCAAGGACCACATTCTTTCTCTCCTCCATGTGCTGAAAAGCCAAGCTAGGGTCCCTAGTCCCAGGCAGAGTGAAGGGCACAGAAGAGGAACATGTAGGCACCTCCACAGTAAGCAAGGAAATGGTTAAATGGCTTTGGTATCATGAGAACCAGAAGCATCCTGGAGGGTTTAGCACTGCTAGGTGAACCCAGACCAGTTCTTCTCACCTCCTTTGGCAGTCATTCAGAACAAGCAGAACATGGAAATTCTTCCTCGGTCTCACTCCAGGTTACCCTCCTTCCACATTCCCAAACAACATCCCTCCCAAGGCTCTAAATGGATTAGGAGGAAAGAGCTCCAGGGTGATGTCAGCATCAAAGGGTAAGACACAGTGAGGTCTTGCATGTTCCTTGATCCACAGGTGCTGGGACCAGGGAAAGGTGGTGGGAGGGTGAGCTTGGGAAACGGGGATTAGCTGAGACGGGAAAGAATGTGGCTGCTATAATCCCACATAATGAACCAGGCGATGCTTCCTCTCTGCACCCTAGGCACTAGACAAGCAGGTACAAGCTGTTGGCTTCAGCCTGCCTCACAAGAGGCCTCCCATGCTGCCAGCCCCCAACAGCCTGTGCCCTCCAGCTGGCAGAAGTGCCCAGGGAGGCACAAGATAAAATGTGTACCTCCGCCTGGCAGCTCACATCTAGGTGGGGAGCTGGGAAGGGAAGAGTCTGTAATTGCAGGAAGAGGAAAGACAGGGGAATGGCCTCTGCTTCAGGCATGTATACCATCAGAGGGCAGCACCCACCGTTTGCCCCAGGTCTTAGAATTGGGACCAGTAATCTGCTTCAACCAACTCTCGATTCAACAAAGACCAGTACAATCAACTTTGCAGGTCCTAGGGAGGGATTTGCGATGTTGGAGATGTATAATGTACATAATCAAAAACTTAGTTTTACTTGATGTGGGAAAGAAGAGCAATTTTTTTTCCCTTTTGCAGATATACCTCCTTAAAGTTTGGAAAATACTGAAATATGCTTGCATTCTTTACATACCCAATGACCGATGGTCAGAGAAAGTAGCTAGAAGAGAAGTCGCAAAACTGACCTCTTTTTCACCTTCATTCCCCCCCAAAACAAAAAGTTGCCTGTAGTTAAATCTCTACCAACAGCTACCTTCCAAGAGAGATTCTCTGCTGAGAAGCTGAATGGCATCGGGGTATCTGAGCTCATAGACTCTTACCTTTTTTAGCTTGCCACTCTTAGTTCCCACAAAAACCACGCTGTAGCCATTGTAGACGTAGGAGGCCACTGAGGTCATGCGGTCCCGGCCGGTGGTGTACAGGGTCAGGCCTTCCACTGGAGTCGAGCCTCCAAGCGGCTGGTTGATGTCCAGTCCACAGAAGTTATCATCAATGGGAACCGGCTGGAGGGAAGGGGAAGGAACTGGGGTGAGTAACAGTGGAGGCATGGTGGAGTCTCTATGCAACCCATATCCCCAACTTCCAGCCTTAAGAAGCCAGGCCTCAGAGAGGCAGACATGGGATTTCAGGGCCCTAACACATGCTGCAGACAAAAACTCCTCACCAGCTCACCCACAAATTCCATACTGGTTCTTACGAAGTCAGACGAAAGAACAGGCACCAACCTTCCACTCACCTGGAGTCCCCTGCCTCTACCTTTCGGCCAGGAGAACCAGGGTCAATTTGTAAAGCTAATCACCTGAACTCATTTTCTATTTATTTTAATGTCCCTCAGGACCATGGCATTCTGTGGGGATCTTTCTATTTCAGACAAGGGTTTCTTCAGTGGATAATCAGCTTAAAGGCAACATCACAAGATTTCCACCAGCCCCAAGAGGATTTCTTGTTTGTTTCTTGGGCTGTAGGGTCTCCCTTTGGGCTCAAGAAATTTTAGGCCATTCAATTACTCTGTTGTTTAATATTCACCAGCATGTCACCTTGGGAATTCTAGCTCTCTACTATGTAAGATACTGGAAAGAGATAAGAAGTGTCATAATAATACTGGACAGTACCTTATACTTTAGAAAAGTTAGCTAATCTACATATATCTCATTTTCTTCCTTTGGAATAATAACTGCCTACCTTTCTGATAGAATTGTGAAGGAACAAATGAAAGAATGTATGCAAAGGATTTGTGTTAAGTTGTCCAACTATTTCCACTATTGTGCATTACAGATCTTCAACAATGTTTGGGTAAATATAACTATGAGAGAATTCCGGAAGTGACGTCCTTCGTATTCCAGCCTTTGAGGAGAGTGGTGGTGTGGCTCCATAATGTATCTGTCAGGAGAGACTGGAGCACGTTTGAAAGAAGATCACCTTGAGCAAGTGAAAAAAAGAATTGCTGGACAGAAAGTAGGAAGATCTTTATCCTGATCCCCGTTCTGCCACTAACTGGCTATGAAAATTGGACCATTAGGTTCCTCTTCTAGGGCTGTTAAAGGGAATGATAAATTGATGGTTTCTAATATCTCAAGAAAGATCTTAGGTCTCTCATCTAAGAAAGAATGAAAGACAAAGACTGCAATGCTTCCTGAGGCAGAGGCTGCTGAGGGGTTTGCATTCTGTACACAGTACCCAGCATGGGGCTGAGCCAGAATGGGTGCTCTGACATGCCCCAGTTAATGGCACAATGTGGAATCCTGTGGCAAAGGCTTCAGGCCCTGGGCCAGAAAAAGCCCCGCATCCTGTGGCAGCTGTTCCTTCTGGGTCTGCAAAGACATCCCAGAGGAGGAAGGAAGTGGCTGTCTAGGAATCATAGAAAGCAGTAGGGCAGCCTGCCCCCTTTCCCTTCAGCCTCCTCCTCCCACCCTCACCAGGGAAGAGCAGGCTGACACATCATCACTCGTTGACAGCCTCATTTCTATGGAATAATTGGTTTATAAGTTATGGCATATGATTTTTTTTTTTTAAACCAGGGACTTCCCTTCTTTTGTCTTTTCAGTCCCAGAGGGAGCAGAGGCTCATTTTTTTGTGCCTCCATAGTGTTTTGCAGAGAGCTGCTGCTTCTGCTACTGGTAGGAATGATGGTGCCGCACTGGTGTGTATACATTCTTCAAGAAAGGAAACACATTTTTAGGTTTAGGTGACTTTTGAATCTGGGATAAGATGGAGTCCCACAGAGCAGAAGGAACAGGTTACTCAGGAAGGGAGTGAAACTGTGGTATGCTGAAGCCAGCTCACAGGAGATAACTGTGCATTCAGTGGCATCCCATGATGCTTGAAATCAGTCACGATAGGAGTATTTACACCATGGCAGTTGGCAGAGGCTACAAACCAGAGCTTCCCTCTCCCTCCACTGCCTACATAGAGTCGGTTATTTAATATTTACCAGCACATCACTGGAGCCAACCACGGGAATTCTAGCTCCCTAAAAAGGGGGGTCAGAATAATTAGCTACATATTTTACATTTTGTACTTATCTTCCTCATCTCATCCCTACACCGTAGGCAGCAACTGCCCTGGTTAAGACAAAAGCGATCCACCTTTTAGTCCTTTCTCTGCTAAAATCAGCTGTGTGACCTTGATATGTCATGTACCCTGTTTCAGCTTCAGTTTTCTCATCTGTAAAGTAAAAGTATTAGACCAGGTAATTGTCAAGTTTCCTTTGAGCTCTAAAAGTCCTTAATTTCATGGCCTCCATTTCTTTCCCACTTTCTGCAGGGCTGGTAAGGCCACAGAGTCTGAGCACAGGCATAGCCCAAGCCAGCTTTTGACAAATGACAACAGAAGCAAAAACCTGGTAATCCTGGATTTTGCTACCATCTTATTGATTCTAGAGTCTCCAGAACTACAAAAAAAAAAAAAAAAAGGATTTGTTCTCAGCCTAAGCCCTAGGATTGGCTAGAATTTCTTTTCTCCTCCAGTTCTTTTTAAATATGTTGTCAGATATTCCCAAACACCTGATGTACCTTTACTTTTGCTCAAATGGTGAGAGCTTGGTGTATGGCTTTTCTTGGAAACAGACGTAGAAAGAGCTTGGACTAAGATGTAACACAGGCGAACTAAATTCAAATCCCCGCTTTATCACTTACAGCTGTGGAGATCTGAGCAACTTGCTTAGTATTTGTGAGTCTTTGTTTTTTATCCGTAAAATGGGGATGATCACTCTTGCTTTATGGGGTCATTGTGAAGAGCAAGTGAGATAACACTTAAATGGCCAAGATTAGCCTTTAGGACACCGCTGCTATTCAATGAGTGATAGCTCCCTTCTTCCTCCCTTTTCTGGGATCATAGCTCAAATTTTTGCCCTGAGATTTCCATATTATTCCAGAGTCATGTTAAAATCAAGCTCTAGGACCTCGGTGTCTTTCATTTATCCTTATTCTCATTTAAGGCCACCAAAATGTCTCTGGGTCCCCAGGTCTTGGTCCTTTGGACTGTCAGGATCTTTAAGGGACCATTCCTCTTGCAGTCCCCTGCACCAGAAGGATGTGGTGCTGAAGGCGGGGAGGCAAGGGGCTCTCCACTCTGAGGTTCTGGCCCCACTCACTGTCACCTCTCTCCCGGTGCCTTTGCTGTCCTTTTGAAACTAGCCCAGGCTTGTCTCTCTGCGCTGGAGCAGAGTGTCATCTTCCTCTTTCCTCTGGCTCAGGAGCAGGCAGGAATCAGCAGTTTCCTACTGACAAGGCCCCCTCTGGGTTATGGGAACTAGGCTGGACGCTGCAAGGGTTTAACCTTTACAGAGGGTTACATCTCCTCCCCATTTCTCCCCATTGGTTAGAGCCAGTGGCCATAGAGGTTTGTTGCAAAAAAAAAAAAAAAATAGAGACTATCTAGTCCAGCTTCCTCATTTTACAAAAGTAGGTAACTAAGAAAATGCCTGGCTTTTTATTACTGTGATTAATATTAAAAATCATAGCTGCCTATTTATTGAATGCTTATTATGTTCCAGGTATTGTGCTAAGCATTTTACATAAATTTTCCATTTGATCCTCATAATAACCATGAAAAGAAGATAATATTATCTCTGTTTTAAAGATGAAAAAATTACAGCTCGGACCAGGTACATAACTTGCCCAAAGTCACACAAGGAGTAAGTGCTAGGACTGATTTTTAATCCCCATCTGTTTTACTTCAAAGCCTTAACCACGACTCTTCTACCACACCATGCAAATGACAGGAGTAGAAGCGGAGCCTTGGAATGATGTTTTCTTGCTTCAAGTACTGGTGTTTGGTCCCAATGTCAGGCACCTCAATTTAGAGTACTCGGAAGATAGCCATATGGGCCCCCTGGTCTCATGTAATTTTTCTAGGCTACAGATCCAGAGCCCTCAGCACTGTGTACAAGAAACTCACTTTTGCCTTTGTCACGTTCCTTGCTAACTAATCATGATAAACCTAACATTTCCAGGCACGGTGCTCACCTCTCCATGTATTATCTCATCTGATCATCCCATAAGCTAGGCATTATTATTCCCATCTCACAGATGAGAATATAGAGATGGTAAGCTGCTTCTGAGGAAGCCAGGAAGAAACACAGATGGAATCTGAATCCTGGCTTTTGCCTCGGAAGCTCAAACTCTTACTGCTACATTATGTTGCCAGATGTCAGATGTCTCTCTCTCTCTCTCTCACTAGATTATAAGATCTGTGAGGTAGTGATCCTGTCTTTTTTTTTTCCTGTTCTGAGACAGGGTCTCACTGTTACCCAGGCTGGAGTATAGTAATGCAATCTCTGCTCATTGCAACTTCCATCTCCCATGCTCAGGCCTCCAGAGTAGCTGGGACTACACGTGCACACCACCACACCCAGCTAATTTTTTGATGTTTTGTAGCGATGGAGTTTTGTCATGTTGCTCAGGCTGGTCTCAAACTCCTGAGCTCAAGCAATCTGCCCGCCTCATCCTCCCAAAGTACCGGGATTATAGGTATGAACCCCCATGCCCAGCCAATCATGTCTTTTTATGTTTGCATCCCCAGGGCCTAGAAGAGCGTTAGGCACTCAGAAGATCTCCAATACTATTTGTAAATGAATGGAGGGATGGGTAGATGGATGATGGTAGATGAATAAAGAGAGGGATGACCTGTAATCCCAGCACCTTGGGAGGCCGAGGTGGGCAGATCACGAGGTCAGGAGTTCGAGACAAGCCTGTCCAACGTGGTGAAACCCCATCTCTACTAAAAATACAAAACAGAGCTAGGAGTAGTGGCAGGCACCTGTAATCCCAGACACTCAGGAGGCTGAGTCAGGAGAATTGCTTGAATCCAGGAGGCAGAGGTTGCAGTGAGCCGAGATTGTGCCACTGCATTCCAGCCTGGGCGACAGAGCAGGACTGTCTCGAAAAAAAAAAAAAAAGAGGGATGAATGAATAGATGGAGAGCTAGGTGGACAAAAGGATGATGGATAGATAAAGACACAGAGGCATAGATTAAGGGAAGAAAAAAGAAGGATGAGTGTATAGAGAGATAGATGGATGGAGGGATGGAGAAAACAATGAAGGGAAGGAACAGGGACAGGCGAATGGAAGGATGGGTAAATGAATGGATGGATGGATGGATGGATGGATGGAGAGATGCATGGAGAGAGAGAGGGAAGGAGGAGGGAGGGATAGATGGATAGAAGAATGAAAGGAGGGAAGGAAGGGAGTGGATGGAGGAGTGATGGGTGGATAGATAGATGAATGGGTGGTTGGATGGTTAGATGAATGAAGGAAGGATGAGTGGATCGTGAATACTTTGATGGCAGCACCATGAGACTCTGACAGGGCAGTGCCTGCCACTGATTTCTTGTCTCTGCGGTCCTCAGCAGAGATTCTGAGCTTCTCTTCCCCTCCTCCTTTGCCTTTGCCCACACTCCTGATTCTTCCCCCGTTTTCCATCAATCGTTCAAGCTAGACTCCCTTCCCTCCCCTCTGACTGAGATTTCCGATGCCCACTTGACCCCCTCACTGGGAACCACAGTGGCTTACGGTTCTGTGTGTACATGACCTGGTCCCCATTACTTCTGATGGACCCTATCTCCAGCTACTCTTTCCCTCACATACTTTGATCTGGCTGCAGTGGCCTCCTTACTGTTCCCCAGACACCCCAGGCATGCCCTGAATTCTTTGCACATTCTCCTTGCTCTTTGTCTCTCTTGAATACTTTCTCCAGATACCTGCATGGCTCCCATTCTTCCCATCCTCAGTCTTTGCTCAGACACCACTTTCTTAGTGAGTCGGTCCTCTCAGCAGCTGCCTCTCACCCTTCCCTGTTTATTTTTCTCCATAGCCATTATCACCATTTAGCAAACCACATATTTTACATGTTCATTTGTCTCACCCCAGTAGCATGTAATCTCCACAAGGGCAGCGAGCTGTGTAGGGCTGTAGGGTTGACGGCTGAAGCCTGTAGCATTTACGATAGCACCTAATGTGATGTAGACACTCAATACATACATTTGAAATGACAATGAATCAACACACGTGTACAAAGTATCTGGTGTATGTAAGACCCTGCACTATTGGTTACCACCTGATAACCTGAGTCCTAAAAACCTCTTTCATTTCAGGCCCATGGTGATCTGGGAGCAGGTGTGCCCTAGGGCATGGACAGAAAGGTTGGAACCTGTGTCATGGAGCAGGAGCAGAGCGAGGTGCGTGCCTCCTTACCGCCTTGGTGCACTGGACATCCTTCCCCAGCAGCCAGTTGAGTTCCAGGTTGCCCTCGCCCTGGTAGCAAGACTGCAAGCGCTCCTTGATCTGCAAGTTGACAGCCCGGATGGGGAAGGCACACAGGGCAGAGTCGTCCGGCGGGTGGTGATACTGCTTCTGCCCTTTGGAGAAGATGGCGAAGAGGACATCGTCCTGGCTGCTGATATTGAAGGCCTGGGCCAGTGAGTCCCCAGGCTTGGCCAGGTATGCAGCCTGCAGGAGGCGGTATTCCACCCCGGCCCGGGTGCAGCCGAAGGGCAGAGACACGTACGAGTGGAACTTGGGGTCATCCTTGCAGAGCCGCACGATGCGGGAGGTGTAGAAGAGGTCTCCAGCGGAGTTGATGGCCACACCCTCGGGGGTCTCGGGCTGGACAGTGAGAAAGTAGACAAAGCCCCCACTGGCGAAGCCGTAGATGTAGAAGATGTCAAAGTGGGAGACCAGGGCCAGGGTGTCTGAAGGGATCTTGATGAGAGAGGAGACAAAATCGCTGTGTAGCTCATAGTCCAGCATGGCTGAGGACTCAGGGTCTCGGGGCAGCTTCCGGCTGGACAGGGTCGGGAAGTAATCTTGCTTCCCGTCCACAGCCGTGCCGATGAAGAGCTTGCCATCCTCACCCTCGGAGCGCACGATCACCCCATACATGGTGCCCGTCTTGTTGACGCTGGACAGGTAGTGCTCCTTCTTGTGGGACGGCTCCACCAGGATGAAGAGGTCGTCCAGCCGCAGCAGCTTGCAGACCCCCTGGTAGAGGCTCCCACAGGCCAGCAGGCGATTCTCAGAGTAGTCAATGATGAGCAGCTTGTTGACATTGTTGGTGAGGGTGAGCACTTCACTGCAGGGCTGCACGATGAGGGGTGGGTAACAAGACTTATTGTCCTCTTCTGGCCCTGTCTTATGAGCCACCTGGATGGTCAGGTTGCCCGTCAGCTTGTAGACCCGGTTGATGGCCCCCACGTAGACGGCCCCTGTCCCTCGGTGGACTGTCAAGTGGTTGAAGGTCCAGTCACGGTTCTCAGAGTGGAAGGTGCTGAACTGAGGCATACCGGCTGCTGGGGGGGCCAGCAGCACCCAGACCACCGACAGCAGGACCACAGAGCGGCTGTCCACCTCCGGGCCCCGTGGCCAGGGCCGCCTCTGTTCCATGCTGAGCGGGGTGGCGGTAAGGAGACGGCTCCTGTGTCTGCTCATCTACTCCACCTTCCCGGGTTGGCCCTCACATGGTTCTGCAAAACACAAGGCAGAGTGGTCAGACCAAAAATACATTCCGGGAGGAGGGAAGATGCTGGCCTGACCCAGGGTCCCCAACCCGGCTTAGCTCTGCGAGTGTTCCTTCTGAACTTCGGGTTTTCTATTTTTAACATACTTTCTCCCTGTTAGGAATGTTCAGGGAATCCTGTTATCTATTTTGATCTCTCGCCTTTATGCTGTAAAATACTTTTTTTTTTTTAACTTTACAAAGCATCTCTATTTCTGGCCTCTTAAGCCATCGTTTTCATCTCTCAGAGAGGTTAAAAAGCTGTTGAAGTTCACCCAGCCAGTCAATCCAATGTCAGGACTAAAGCCAGTCTTCCCCACCCAACAGGCACGTCTTATCCCAGTCCAGTGGAAATTGCTCCTGTTTATTGAAAGCTTATCAGGCAGGCCCTCCCCCAGGCTCTCTAGGTCAACTGTTCCCAGAGTCTGACACTGCACACAAAATTCCTTCTTATTTTAGACTTCCGTCACCTCACCCGGCTGCATCTCATTACCTTCTCATGCTCTGTTATCCACAGAGGCGAGGAGCTGGTCACCCTGAGTGAGAGTGCCCCTCTCTGCCCTCAGCCCTTTCTTCTCCAGCAACAAAAACCCCTGATCACTAGCTGTTGGAATTTGTTAGGAAAGAGAAACATGTTGTAGCCAACAAGACTGGGACTCCCACATGTGCCATTCCGGGGCCAGAAAAGCCCTTGCGGGATAGGCAGATCTCCCGCGATCCCCCATCCTTCTCAAGGTGGATGCCCAGCTGCTGCCAGGCAGCCAGGTCCTGGGGAAATTTCTTCAACCTCTGCCTCTCTGCAGGGAGTGCACTGGGAGCCAGGACACACAGAGAACCAGTCTTCTTGCTAGGGGGTACTGGCTGGCTGAGTCCAGCTTCAGCCCCCTGGGGCAGGGGTACTGGGTTTGGGAAAATGTGGGGAACAGCAGAGGGTGGTGAGTGAGGTTTAGTCTCATGTCAGGTACTGCTGGGGCCTCCTGACTGTTTCAGCATCCATAAAATCACCCATGGACCTCAGTGGGCCACGCTCAAAGTCCAGTCTCTAGCCCTGACTCCTCTACTCTTCCCCCTGCCTCCTGACTCTCAGGCTTTAAGGCTCCTCCGCTTCCAGAGCCTTGGTGCTCACTCCTCCCCATTCCAAGGAAGCTGCCCAGAGGGGCAAGGTGGGGCTCCTGAGGACAGCCTATAGCCAGGGGCAGGCTGGGCAAGGGGCAGGAACTGGAGGTCAGAGAGCAGGACCTGTCCCATCACTATCACAGTGCTGCCCTGACTTATGGAGAAGGACAGTGGGTGATGACTTAGGCACCAGGAGGAGAAGGCAGTGAGCTCCCCTGCAGGGAAATCTCTTCTCAGCTGGACAGATCACCCGGCATCTTCTCAGGCAAGTCCAGACAGACTCTGGGCACATAAGGTGGCAGGGACGGAAACACCCAGAGGACGGAGAATTTGCTCCAAGGCAGCTTAGGAGAGGCCTGTCTGTGCCCCTCAACTCCCCAGTCTTGCTGAATTGGGTTATAATTAGAACAGACACCCCTTAGGGAGTCCCCTAGAGTTTCTTTAGGAACGACCCTTCCTGTTCTTCAGTTTCGCCTCCTCAGCTTGGCAGCCACCATGGTGCCACAGCAGGTCCCACCTGACTCCCTCCTCCAACCCGACTCCCCCGGTGTTCGGGGTGACTCATGAGGCCTTGGGCTTCCTTGGAAAGAGGAAGGCAACAGCGGCATGAGACTCAGGCTGACCTCAGCTACCCTGACACAGCCCTTCCGGCCCCACGCGCACACCGGCAAAGCCTCCCAACAGACAGAGCTTTCAGTTTGGAAACCAGAGGTTATTTTTAGCTATGTCCTGAGGCCGGTAGCAGGACGTGAATTCCTGAAGAGGAGCCCTGGAAAGGAAATAACAGAATCCTTAAATTCTCCAGCTGGACGGGGAATTGCAAGAGGCCATTCTCTGCATGCCCCTGTCTCCAGGAAGAAAAGGTCGTTGGACTCCAGGTGGAGAATGGTTCCTTCTCGCGGAGTCGAGAGTGGGAGAACGGGGTCCTGGCAGCAGAGAGAACATCAAAGGACCTGGTCTGAGGTTAAGATCACCTCACCTCCCTGCTCTGTATCCTCCCAAGACACAGTTTGAATAGTGAGTGGCTTTTGCTGTTGTTAGGCAGAATTTGGGAACAAATTTGGGATTTGGGGCAAGTCAAGTCTCATGTCCCTTTCTGGTATTATGGGGAATAGCTACAGCATCTACCTGTCAAGTTGTCAGGACAGTAAATGAGACAATGTAGAGACCAACCTCTGATCCCGGTTGTGGGGACACAGTGAGCACTTAACTTATGCTTAACTTATGTTAGTTTTTGATATTATCTTTTTTTTTTTTTAAGATGAAGCCTTGCTCTGTTGCCCAGGCTAGAGTGCGATGGCGCAATCTCGGTCCACTGCAACCTCCGCCTCCTGGATTCAAGCGATTCTCTTGCCTCAGCCTCCTGAGTAGCTGGGGTTACAGGCATGCACCATTATGCCTGCTTAATTTTTGTAATTTTCGTAGAGACGGGGTTTCACCATGTGGGTCAGGCTGGTCTTGAACTCCTGACCTCATGATCCACCCACTTAAGCCTCCCAAAGTGGTGGGATTACAGGTATGACCCACCACATCTGGCTTTTTTTTTTTTTTTTTTCTTTTTGGTATTTTTAGTAGAGATGGGGTTTCACCATGTTGGCCATGCTGGTCTCCATCTCCTGACCTCGTGATCCATCTGCCTCAGTCTCCCAAAGTGTTGGGATTACAGGTATGAGCCACTGTGGCCTATTATCTTTGAAGACCCCATAGGAGATGGCATTTCGGAATTCCTGCCCCAGCTCTTGACTTCCCCTTTTGCTTATATTCTCCCTTTCCCACCCACAATGAGATGAACATTGCGGTTGGGCCTTTGATCCCTAGCCCTCCCTTACCTGGTGACAGAGCTCAGTCTGGGAAGCACATGGCAAGGGGAAAGAAATAGATCCAAGGTCATCTTCTCTGTCATACTACTGCACAAGTCCCAATATAGCGTCTCCACATACTGCAGGAAGGCTGGTGGAGATGCAGGATCCTGAGAATTAGAGAATGAGAAAACTGTCCTGATGTCTAGAGGCATGAGGTCACAGTGGGAAGCTCAGGATCCCTGGGTTCAAATTCTGCCGCGTGACTCATGAATTGTAGTGTTACTCACTGTAGACCAGTCTGGCGTTTCCATGAGCCTGTTACTTGTTCTTAAAACAAAAGGCATTTCAATTAGTCAACCTATAAGATTTATTCTTTCAGATAAAATTCTACCTTGAAGCTTTGTTCCTTCAATTCCTAGAATCTGTGATTCCAGTATCAGCTGAGGTTTTTCTGTCCAACCTGGAGAGGCTGATTAGGCCAGGAGTTTTTTATTTTTTATTATTTTTTATTTTTTCAGGCCAAAAGTTTTAAACAGACCACTTTAGCTGGATTGTTTTCCTCTCACCCTCAAGCAGCATCTGCTTCGGGACAGGCGGCTCCTGGTAACCAGCCAAGTGAATTCATCTGAGAGGGCTTGGGGACCACCCACCTGGGAGCAGCTGTCATTGGACACTGGCATCAAGAGGAGGCACAGTCTCCTGCAGTGAGGGGAGGTTTGCACCCCACCTTGGGAGTGTGGCCTTCTTAAAGACAGCTGACTTCAAGGGCACGTTGAGAGCCTTCTTCTTTCTATGCCAAATTGATGTGACTAAATAGCTGTTCCAAGCAGAGCCCAGTGGCCAAAGATCAGGACTCCTATCATCATTCTGAGTAAGGAGGAAGGGAGCCCACCTTTGCGCCTCTGCTGAGAGGCAGTGTGATATAACAGTTAAATGCATGAGCTCTGAACTTAGGTGTTTGACGGAGCCTATAGCTGTGTATACTTGATCAAGGGACTTAGCCATTTTGTGATGCTATCTCACTGTCTATATAAAACAGGTTTAGTACTAGTAGCTACATCATAGGATCATTACAATGAAATCAATTAATACATATAAAGCACTTAGAACAGTTTCTGGCCATCTTCAGTGTTCAAGATACACGAACCTTTGTTATTAGCAATTTATTTGTCATAAATTCTAGCTCCTCACCTCCATCCATCCCATCATCTGTCTTAGAATGAATTTCCCATCCATAGTTTGGTAGAAGTCTGGTAAGTATACGTGCCCATGACTTAGCATACCTACAAGCGCTTCCTCCTAGCCCCAGTTTTCTGCCAGGGTCAACCTCAGGAGTTTTCTCTTAATAATGATGCTTTCTTCTTTCTGTCACATCCCTCTCTGTTTCGTGCATGAAGTCACATGCTTCTCAAGAGCTGAAACTTGCCTGGTCTCTGTTCTGCCAGTTTCCATCTCTCCACTCCAAGTCTCCCTGATGCTACTCGCAGACTCTTGCCTAAACAGCACAGTCTCCCAGGACATGTAACTCGGAGCATTCCTGATGCCGAGGAGAGGCCACACTTGCCTCTTTGGGAAGCAAGTGCCACTAAATATTTTATGTGGAGGGCCTGATGACACCATCTCCCCAATCGGGATTCAGGAGGCAGGTGTTAGTGACAGCAAGTGAAGGCATCTGATACCTTCCTGATCAGCTGCTGTGGGCGTCAGTGGCAAAGCAGGAAAGAAATGACAATCAGGCATTTCCAGTTCAGCTCACTGAGGATTCCCTCCTCCCTGCTACCCTCTCCTGTTGCACTTTTCAGGAGATCTGAGTGCACATGTCTGTACGCTTCCACTTGGCTTCCTCTTATAGAAAAAGGACGTGGTGGAAAGAGAATTTAGTTTCAAAATACGATTTTGCCAAATGAGTCAAAGTTCACGTTGGTCGCTCGCATACCCATGGGTCCATCTATAGCTCCACCATCGCCACTAACTGCATTCCTAACAAGCCTGTCACCGACATTGTCATCACCTTCAGCACCATCCTGGAGCTAATAGTTTTCATAAAACC